CTTTGGAACTTCGAAGCGACTTTTCCACAGAAATCGTTTTGATGTTCCCTGAAAATGATTTTAAGTTTCAGGTGATCACGTAATTCCGCTTTTTATGCCACAATGTAAAGAATGTGAGTATTGTCTCAATCCAAAAACGAACCTTTGTCAACGTATTCGGTAAATTTTTGACGTAAAAACTTTTCTACGGCTTCTTGGTTTTTGCGGCTTAATTCTAGTTAGCTTCCTTACTAGTTTTTTTGCCTTCGATCTTTGCTACAGAACAACGAATAGTATTTGTAAGTCATCCCCTCTCAATTCCCCTCCCCCCACCCTCCTCTAGCTCGCATTTATCCTCTTCCTTCCCTCCCCCTCTCCCCGCGCCTCTCCTTATCTTTGTTCCATCCTCCTACAGTCCTCACCCCTCCCTCGCCTCGTATTCTTTCCTTACAACCATCCAACAGAGTACTGCCTTGCCTTCTTATCTACTATTAGTAATTGCGTTATTCTCATCTGCCGCCACTATTAGTCACAACAATCTAAACATATGTCTGGTCTGTCAGTGCAGTGAGAATCTCATCGGTTATTTTCCCTATCGATTTGGTAAATGCGTTATGGACTGGCAAAAATTCCTAATCCTCTCGTTATCCTCGTCAATGAATTTGCTTAAAATGACACGATCCCGCAGACTGAATTTTAACAGAGTTCTGTTAGTTCGATTACTTTGAAGAGTTGAGCTCATTTAAAAAACAATCGCCAATATTACAGTGTAACGCAGGGTGAAGGCTTAATGCCTGATAAAACAGCACGATTTTCCCATGCTGGAAAACCACTCTATCATTTCATGGGTTGCAGCACATTCAGTGAATATACCGTTGTATCACAGTATTCCATTGCCAAGGTATGAGAATTGTTCACATTGTTGGTTGTATCTTAGGGACCCCAGCTTTCGCTATTTCTAGTGATGACCGGGAAATCATATGGTTACCTTTGACGTGCGGAAACTGTTTGCTTGGCCAGTACTGAAAATCTTTTAGTAGTATGGTGGTGGTGGAGTAGTAGTATTGGTCGGTCTAATAACAGCAATAATTGAAATGAGTGACAACAGCACTCGCCCAGCTGATTACTACCAGTACTCGATTCACCGGGCATTATTATTCAAGTGATATTGTGGCAGTATACAAATTGAGTAGTGGTGGGGCTCGAATTGAGTACCAGTAGTTCATTTGTAGTAATTGATTTGAATAAAAGTGGTACGTGAATAGAGAATGAACTGTAAGGTAACAGAAACGAGTTAATTTCGATACAATAGTGTATGATGTCACTTTTTTCTGACAGCAAACGCTGGTCAGCAAGGGGCCCGATTCTTCCACTTGTTTTAATGGTGTCCTGAATCCTAGAATATCCAGAAACATAAAATGGCATTGTTTTTCCCATCGACTACCCCCCATTGTCTTCAGTT